ATGTAAGTAATCATTTAAGCACGGTTCTAAATAGAGACTAAAGAACCATGTTTTTCAAGTGTACAATCCATTTGAGTCGTAACCCAAATGTTAAGAAGAGCCATTTTCTCGCATCTCCAGCAGGAAACTTTTCCTCAGAAGTGGAATAGTTTCTTGTAAAATGTCGACTTTTCACAAGGCTGAAGTCGCTTCTCATTCACCAGCTTCTTGTCCGAATTTAAGGTGGAACAGGATAATTTGAATGAGAAACTGACTCCCTGCTAGTCCATCACAGGGCAGTGGTCAGCTATATTTAGGGGTAAGAGAGAGAAATCGTGTACAAGTTCAGTGTTAGCATTAGCGTTAGCCCTGCCCTCCGTCTGCTAGTTTCCTCTGCCAGTGTCGGTAATTGATCTGAGCTGATTGGCTGTATTGACAGCAGCAGAATAGACAGCATGTTACATTCAACCCTTCACAAAACAGAGGGAGGAAGCACTTCACATCCGAACCCACCCAACGTTCCCTATCCATCCATCACACAGACAGCACAGCGCCCTCAGCGCTACACGAGTGGCCACCTCACTTCCAAAAGAAAGAGAAATCCAGGGCTTTTCCTCACTAATCTTCCTCTAAAGGATCTGAGCGCGCCCCCGGTCAAAGCCCTTAATCCACCCGCTCTGACCTCTCCCATTATTTAGGGCTTCAGTTACTTTAATCCAATCAAAATGATTTACTAAAGCTACCCAGGACCCCCACCACCCCCACCCCCCACCTGACCCTGCACTGTGTGTGTGTATATATATGTTTGTTTTCATACTGTTTTGGGGACAAATATGTATATCGCTGCTGTCGGAGGAAAACCTCGTATCTCCATAATAATAACTTTACAGGAGAAGGAAAAGACCTACTTTACTTTAATGTAGGTCAATGGAACCAGACTGTGTTCTGTCAGTTTGGGATGTTTCTTTTGGTCCATTCATCATGAAATTTACCAACAATGTAAAGGACAAAAGGCATTTTCAAATGATGTCAAAAACTGAAAAACAACAAAAATGGAGATACAAGGTCTGGTACCGACAACAGCGGTATATATATTTGGGACATATGATTATAACATGTAAGTATATTGTTGCGTATAAGTACTTACATATATATATGTAATGCATATATGACCTGACATCCCGACATGGTGGAAAACGCTGAGCGTGTGTTGGTAATTTCCACAATAATAGCTGGTCTCCAGTGAAGGGCCGGATCATTCCTGCCCCTCTTCAGCTCAAACCCTCTCCGTCAAACCAGCAGTTGGCGGAGAGTTTATTAAAGCTGCTCTCTAACTCACCCTCACTCACCCCACCACCCACCGACACGGCCTATCTGTCTTTACCCCCCCCCAACACCACCACCACACTCACAGTCACTCACATCACCCTGCAGTAAACTATGAGACTGTAACACCATTTAAACCAGTGATCTGCACAACTACTTCCACCTCGTCTGTTGGGCAAAGAGCTTTTTCCCATTTATTCATGTTGTATTTGATCATTATCTGTTAGTTTTACATAAAGTCATGTTTTTAAACTCCACATTAAACTCAAAATGGGCATATATTTTTCAATAAACAAGTCCATTTCTCGGTTTCAACATTTGATATTTTGCTGATTAAATATAGGGTTTTAATGATTTGCACACTGTTACATTACAGTGTGTCCCAACTTTTTTGGAAGCTGAGTTGAAACCTGCCGCAAGTTGTTATTTGTAATCATAGAACTGAAAGAATGGTGTTACAGTCAACTGTGTTACGGTCAGTTGTGTTACAGTCCGTAGTATTAAGTGAGTGGTGTTAGAGTCAGAGATGTTACTCAATAGCATTACAGTCAGTGGAGTTACAGTCAGTTATGTTACTCAGTAGCATTACAATCAGTGGTGTTACAGTCAGTGATGTTACTCAGTAGCATTACAGTCAGTGGAGTTACAGTCAGTGATGTTACAGTCAGTGATGTTACTCAGTAGCATTACAGTCAGTGGTGTTACAGTCAGTTATGTTACTCAGTAGCATTACAGTCAGTGGAGTTACAGTGAGTGATGTTACTCAGTAGCATTACAGTCAGTGGTGTTACAGTCAGTTATGTTAGAGTCAGTGCTGTTACTGTCAGTTGTGTTAAGTCAGTGGTGTTACAGTCAGTGGTGTTACAGTCAGCAGTGTTATGGTCAGTGGTGTTACAGTCAGTAGTATTACAGCCAGTGGTGCTACGGTGAGTGTTGTTATGGTCAGTGGTGCTAAAGTCAGTAATATTACAGTCAGTGGTGCTACAGTCAGTGATGTTACTCAGTAGCATTACAGTCAGTAGTAATACAGTCAGTAATGTTATGGTCAGTGGTGTTACAGTCAGTAATGTTACAGTCAATGGTGTTACAGTAAGTAGTGTTATGGTCAGTCATGTTACAGTCAGTAGAATTACATTCGTTAGTAAATGGTGCTACAGTCAGCAGTGTTATGGTCAGTGGTGTTACAGTCAGTAGTATTACAGCCAGTGGTGCTACGGTGAGTGTTGTTATGGTCAGTGGTGCTAAAGTCAGTAATATTACAGTCAGTGGTGCTACAGTCAGTGATGTTACTCAGTAGCATTACAGTCAGCAGTGTTACAGTCAGTAGTAATACAGTCAGTAATGTTATGGTCAGTGGTGTTACAGTCAGTAATGTTACAGTCAATGGTGTTACAGTAAGTAGTGTTACGGTCAGTCATGTTACAGTCAGTAGAATTACATTCGTTAGTAAATGGTGCTACAGTCAGCAGTGTTATGGTCAGTGGTGTTACAGTCAGTAGTATTACAGCCAGTGGTGCTACAGTGAGTGTTGTTATGGTCAGTGGTGCTAAAGTCAGTAATATTACAGTCAGTAGTGTTATGGTCAGCGGTGTTACAATCAGTAGTATTACAGTCAGCGGTGCTACAGTGAGTATTGTTGTGGTCAGTGGTATTATGGTCAGTAGTGTACATCGACATTTGCCATCAGAATGGCTGAGTGACCAGGCTATGGCTATGTGGCTCCATCTGAGAAGAATGATAGTGTCTTCACGCGAGGCTGGATGATTAATAAACGAGCTGAAAGGTTCACAGCTTCATGCTGGATAAACACGGGCGGATTTTGTTTGAATATACAGCGGATTACGTTCCTCCAGAGTCTGTGTGCTCAGATGCCTCTCGCTCTCACATACAGAGAGTAAAAGACGGTGAGGGTGTGGTCATGTGACCCGAGCGGAGCGTGTGGGGGACTCCACGGCAGCAGGGAATTCCCTCCGAAAGACAAAAACAAACACCCTCCACCCATCAGCACGGCCGTACACGCCGTTCACAGCTGAGTGCGTCTGTTTAAGTGGGATTTCACACGGACTGAGAAACTCAGAGAGAGGGATAAACGAACAATTCCACTAATCAGAGACAAACAAACACCATCAGATCACCACCATCAGGACGGGGCACAAGACAGAACCGGGGAAAAACACTTCTGGGGCTGAATAACATTTTAGGACAATGAATAGTTTAAAAAGGTCAGCATGGGTAACACGTTACCTGCTCTGCAGCTATTCAGAGTGAATATTCTCAATGAAACACCATGATAGAATATGCTTCTGTGAAGTTTTGATGGAGTTGTACTTTCCTGTGCATTTTGCTTCTACTGCATACCTGCACTATATATTAAAATTGGCAAATAAATAGAATTTACACACTAAAATTAGGAGAAAATTAGCAAAACCTGTACATCTAAATATGTAAATCTGTACTGTGTTTAGGTTTATTCTGCTTCACTGTAAAGGAACTAAAAGGAACTTTAGGAAGACTAAAAGGAACCCAAATGAGAAAAATTGGCACCAGAATGAACCAGAACAGCTACAGAATGTACACCATTCATGGCGGAACCTGAATTTTAAATAAGAAGCCAGTTTCAGCCTCATAGCTCCTGTGCAGATTAACCTACTACAGTCCCCCAATATTTACAGTTGTAAGTGAACATTTTAAAATGAAAAATAACACGTCCTCCACTGGGAACTTTTCTACAAATTTCTGAGCACAATTTCTGTGTTTTATTGACTTGCTGAGATTATCATACTGGAAGTATAAAATATATATAAAATATTAATAAAATACAAAATGTGCCCTAACTTTTGCACAGGACACGTTTTTTGTCTTGCCAATATGTTATTAAATAGCATATGAAAATATTCAGAATGGTGCTCTCTGTAGAGGATGTGTGCTCGATTTCAACATAAAAAATCAATAAAAAATGTCATTTGACCTGGGGTGCCAAAACTTTTGCATACGACAGTAAGTAGGTTTTTTGGACCTCAGATCGTTTTGATAACTCTTATGCAGCACCACATTATATCATTTTTAATGTATGTAATGAATAAATTTGACTTTACGCCGTTTGACAACGTCACTTAACCTAACAAAATGCTGTAAAATGGCTTGAGTCACGTTTTACTAAGTAAACGTACAAATTTGTTTCAGATTAAGTTTACAAATTTATCTTCTATAGAATGAAATTCTTTGAATAAAATATCAGTTTACTGTAAAATAAGTAAACATGCTCACATCTTTGTAGCAAAGTATGTATTATTAGCATTTCGCTGTTGTCGGAAGAAAACCTCGTCTCCAAAATGAGAACTTTACAGGAGAAGGAAAAAACCTACTTTACTTTTAATGTAAGTCAATGGAACCAGAATTTTTTACAAGTCATTTTGGGTCACTTTGTTTAGTCCATTCATCATGAAATTTACGTACAATGTAAAGGGTAACAAGTATTTTCAAATTATGTCAAAAACTGAAAAACGACAAAAAAGGAGATGCAAGGTTTTCTTCCGACAACAGCGATTTACAGCGTAACAGAGCTGGACGACATCGGTAAATATTCAATATGACAACATTTCCCAAATGTATCAGAGTATCCGTGATATTTAAATTAGCATTAACAAAGCTAATGCCTGGTTTGGGTGACCCCTAGCTGACCCCGGCCCTCGTAC